GGTAAAAATATTATTGATATTAATTTATCAGTAATATTAAAATACTAATAATATATAAATTTTATTTATTTAGTAATAATAAATATATATCATTTGATACATTAAAAAAATAATAATATACGTTAATTTAAATAAGTAAACAATTATATAATTTTAAAATATTATATATATATATATATTAAAATTTTAAAATTATTAAATTTTTAATGAGAAAGACTAAAATTGCACAATTATGATATTTGAGAGATTAAAATTGTTCAATTAAAAATTGTGAGACTAAAATTACACTATAATCTTTTAAGGACTGAAATTACTCAATTAAAACCTTACAGATCAAAATTGCATAATTATAATATCAAAAACACAATTAAGTAAAGAATATTTTATTCACAGTTTTGGAATGGGCCGTTCTGAATCCAGAACGGATCGTTCTGGAAGCAGAACGGGCCGTTCTGAAAGCAGAACGGGCAGTTCTGAAAGCAGAACGGGCAGTTCTGTTTTCAGAACGACTCATTCTGCTTCACTGGTGGTGTTTTAATTTTACAACCAGAACGGCCCGTTCCGATTTCAGAACGGGCCGTTCCGGTCCAGGCGTTTTCAAAAAAATTCTCATCCACGTGGATGCAACGTATGCATCTACGTGGCATCCACGTGGCCAAAAGTTAACTCCGTTTAAATAATTTGGACGGAAGTCCCACATTGAAACTAATTAATTAATTTGGGACTAAATTGAAACCAATTAATTAGTTTGGGACCAAATTGAGACAAAAAATTAATAAGTGTCTAAATTGAAACAAAAAAAGATTATAAGGGATCAAAATAGGTTTTTAGCCTTATTTTCTCTCATTTTTTTTTTTCTTCTCTTACCTTTTATCAAACAACAGATGATCTCATTTTCAACTAACTTTCCCTTCTCTTTTCTTTCCTTTATCTTTCATAAACTAAACAAAGCCCTAAAGTTTAGACAGAACTTGAGCAGCTTTGAAACACTTCATCTGGCTATAGAGGCCATGTTTTGTCCCCATCAGCACATAATTGCTCCATCAAAGTGTGGGAAAAGCTTAACAACAAGCATCTCTGGTCCAGCTAATTTTTTATTGTAATCAAACTTTCACATAGAAGAAAACAAGTAAAGAAACTGTGTCATTCTCATCTACTGCTCAACTACTATGCCAGACTCTTGATTGTGAGAGGGCCTCCATTTTCGATCAAAGGAACTTCTTTCAACCACTTGTGCACCCTTCTTATTCTGAACACTAAGTTTCTCATCTATCAATTTCATTAACTCTTGCAACCCAACTCCTGTGATAGCAGATGCTTTCAAATGTGGACCAGATTGTCCAATCATACCATCTTTTTCCACATCATTGTCCTTTTTAAAAGCCTCTTTTTTTTGGCCAGTCACAATTGAAGGTGAACAAAACTCACCTTCATCAACAGTATCATCCATGTATAACCAACCATCAGAATAGTCTTCTTTTTCTTGCATGACCCCACTGTCATTGTGATTGTCAATCTCCTTGATGCCTTCATTTTCTAGGCCAGAAATACTGCCAGCATCATCTCCATCTTCATCCTCAAGATATTCATCATTGTCCATGCATTCTTCTTCCATATCAATCTAAACATTCCAAGAGATTGTGGAAAGAGATATAGTCAACAATTTTTCTTGCATTTTGGTTGAACGGCAGATGAGTTATACACTTGTATTACCTTATTCCAAACTTCAATCATATTCTGAAGCTTCTCTTCTGACACCCCTATTTGTTTAAGAACTTGCAACACTGTTGAGCGATGCTCATTCAGATTGGGAGCAGTTGAATCCACCACATGCTTCAAGGAAAAAGATTTGTTAGTTGATTTGTCTATCAACACACGTAAAAGACTAATAATAGATGAAATTTAGTAAGATTTAGAACAAAAGTTACTATGAAGACCAAAAATGAGTCTAATGTGCTCGGTAATTTATACTGTAAAAGAAGTAACGGCCTATGTACAATTAAGAGAAACCATATGTAAGAAGGTCAATACAGGTATTACAAACATAAAGGATTATAGTAGCAAAAGAAAGTACTAATAATAGAAACTTTTAGCGCAAATCAACAATTATCTTTTTATCATCATTTATTTTTTATGCTTCCTTTTTTTTTCTCTTTTGTTTTTGGTTAATTAGGGCTAAAAGAAGATATTTGTAAGATTTTGAAACTAGTATAAAAATTAAAATCAGACAAGACATAAAATAATACTATAAATTATTTATGTTCTCCAGCAACTAAAAGGAAATGCAAAATCATACCACAAGGAGGTCTGCTTCCACCACTTCTTCTAGAGTTGCATGAAATGCTTCCACCAACTACAAATATTAAAAGAGAAAAGGTAGATAGGGTTATTGTCAAAAATAGAAAGTTGAAGAATAATACTGACAAAAATAATCAATAAACAATCATACCGACATAACAATTTGCTCATGCTTTAACATACCTGTATAGGCAAGTCAGATATGAATCCCACTGTGTCGCTTAAAAGCACTTTCTTCCTAAAAATATAATTAAGAATTTAGTATAGGGAAGCATATATATTCAACACTATCAACCAGTGCACAAAATAGAGAGTACAGCAACTAAGATTAGATTGAAATGATAATTTGTTGGTCAAATTACCCTGAAGGAAGAACAGCACTTCTTACTCTAGGATCAACTGTTGCAAACAGTCTGCAATACATGTAATACCATCAAGTATTCAAAGTGAAAAGGTAAAGTTAAAAATTATATTAGAATTAGAGAATAGAAATGGATAGTATAGATAAAAGTGAGGTGGTTTTACCGACAATCGCTATACAGATCACTGTCCGATAGCCTACTAACTAATGTAGATTTTCCCTAATAAAAACACGTAGAAAGCAAATTAGTAATGCTTCTAATTACAATAAATAGCAAACACATATTTAGACTACTTACAGCATTTGTGTACCCAACAATAGCAACAGTGGCTAAGCCCTGTCCGGATGAACCTCCACGCCTCTTGCGACCAGCACGTTGCAAAGCCCGGGTGCGGCGAACCTCTTCAATTTGAGATAATAGATAATTTCTCCTCTCTAGGATTCTAAGGGTATTTCACACTTCAGTGATCCAATTATGTGTAATAAAATCATCATAAAAACTGTTGGATTGCACATCAACAAACAGATCAAATTTCATAGACTAGAGTATTGGGCAAAAATACCCAGCAAGAATATATTATAACTGCCAACAATAGTTTAATCACAAAAAAGACTCCATGCATTGTAGCTTCAAGGCACCACATAACATGTACGAATACAAGTCTGGCACAGATATATGATATCTAATAGCACTCAGTGAGGACCTGTGCTCAATGGGATTAACCTTTAACTCACCACAGATTGAAGTTACAAGACCTAAAGCATAAAAATTTTCTCAACATTTCCCCCCTTCAAAATATTATTATTTGCATCAAGCACAATTACAGAGAACATTTGTAATGACTAGACACAATGAGAAAGTCAAAATTCAGCTTCGAAAATCACACAAATTTATAAGTAAACCATGAGATATGCTGGGAAAGGCAAAAATATATCACTTGAGAACAAACATATGCATCTTGAAAATTCAATACCAGTTATACCTTCGTCGCTGAAGCTGAAGTTCAGTTTCTCCAGCACCACTCATAAAACCTTGCCCCCCACTTCCTCTCCTGAAATTGACAAGCATCGAGTTTAGATACTGCTACTCTAATTAACAGTTTACTAATACACTAGACTAGGCCAGAGCATAAATGCATGCAGATATATGTGCCTAAAAGAGCAAGAGTGAGGAACAGTGATAAAAAGATTAAACAAAATTAGAGTTCAAATTGAAAGAAAGCATATGAAAGAGCAGAAAATTAGGAAATCAACAAACCCTCGGGCACTAACAACTTCAGCTTCTCCAGAAGCCCCAAATGTATAGCGACCACCAGGGCCTCGAACCCGAACAAGTCTAGTCTTCTTGTAGGATAGAGCTGCGAGCTCAGCCTGCACAGATGCCAAAGAATATTCAAAAAAACAATCACAACATTCAATTCAAGAAGCCAAATTTCATGTAACCTTTTTTTTATATATATATTTTCTTCTCCCATACATAAGAGTGTTCATACCTGGAGTTTTGCTTCCTTGGTGAAGGCATGAGCATTGAAGATCTCAATTATAAGTCCCACACGGTCCAGCACAGGTTTCCCCCAAGCCCTCTGCCAAGTACATAAAGCATTGCCAAAACAACCCTCATTTCACCATTCCAAAGACAAAACCGGTACGACATACCTCGAGGTTCCGTTGCTGAATCCCAGACAGTATGGCATTCACAAAAACCGCATCCACGTCACCCTGTCACACTTAACACGCTCACTCACCCAATCCTAATCTCCGCATGTAATGAAAAAGACAAAACAACCACCTTGGATTCGGCGGCAGCGATGTGGCACTTGACGTTGTCGACGGTCCCTTGGCCGAAGTAGGTGTCGGCGCGCGGGGTGCGGCACTGGACGAGGAGGTGAGGGGGGAGCGGCTTGTCGAAGAAATCGGTGTGGAAATAGCCATCGCGCTGGTCTTCGAGTGAGTTAGCGAGACAGAGAGCTTCGTTGAGCTTTGCCTGCAACAGCTTCTGGGACCGAACGCGCGGCTGAACCACTAGAAGCTTCGGAAGACTCGAAGAATACAGCCTCTTCCAAAGGAGTGAGCTTCTGCAACTTGTCAGCAATGACGCCGCAGAGAATACCTTTTTCAACATTTTAATGCCTTTGGGGTTTAGCAATCAGCACCGCATAGAGGGTTAAGGTTAAGGAAGGCAATATGGTAATTTTGAAATATCATCGAGGGTTGTTTTGTCCAAAAGTTCTCATATATATATATAGATGAAATGCAATAACGGGCTTCGACCAAAAATTCAAACCCAACGGCGACGTTTCAGTCTTCCTCTTCTTCTGCTCTGCGTTTCCATTCTCTCAGGTGCGGTTTACTCTCTCGTCCTACAATGCCCGCTTATTATTATTATTATTCTTTTTTCATTTACGACGTTTTCGTTACTGCGTTTTTCGCTTTTGTAACATTGCATCAAAAGCAACGAACGTTATGCTTTTGATTTCCGTGGTGTTTGTTTGTTCTGTTGCTTCTGCTCGCATTGTGTATTTCTGAATTTAATTTCTTTAATGTTTTAGACAGCACTTGTTCCAAGTTTTTGTTTGGTTCTCATTTCACCAAAGAAACCCTTCATTTTATTTGAATTTGATATTCGCTTCTAAGTCAGTTCGTAACCATGGTTGCAATATCCTACCTTATGCAAATGTCTACTACTACTAATATTTGATAGAAAAACATTCTTCAAATTAGATTTAGGTGACAACAGTTTGACTAGTTGGTGTATGGGTCAAAAGATTCTCATACCCTATTCAATTCGGGAAGATTTTCACAACTTATTCCTTTTACATTCCTATTGTATATTCTTTACTTATGTGCGATATTGCATTTTGCTCTTTCTTGATGATGTTCATAAAACCCTTATTTTTTGTCTATGGTTATTCACATAAGTTTTTTAATGTGTTGCAGAGTAGAGTATCAAAGTCTTTGCTCTCTGAAAAAAGGGAAATAGGATAATGGCCAAGTTTGTTGCTCCTAGCCACCTGATTATCAAAGATGAAAACTTCGATCTTCATCCCAAAAGTGAGTCGTTTATGTTATGTTGCTTATAACACCAATTTCCAACAACTAGTAATGAAAACGTTTTCGAAGAATTGACCTGTTCTTTGCATTCTGTAACATTATTATTGGACCATCTATTATTTACTAATTACTGCACTCTTCTCTTACTACATTGGTTTTGTTTGTCCTTTTGGTTTACTTGGTATAGAAACTATCAAGTCAAACAAGTCCAAGGCAGATGGAAAGAAAGGTGGTTCAGGGATTGCAGGTCGAAAAGCTCTAAACGATATAACAAACAAAACATCACTTCTCCCAGAAGCCTCACTTAAGAAAACAAATTTACCCAAGGAAAATATTAATGTAAAGGAGGAAATGTTCTTGCATGATCACAAGAAATGCATTGAGGCCAAAAGAGCTGCAATGGGAAATTTCAATCTTGAGGCAGTTCTTCCACGAGATGGTAATCCTACCTGGCTTTTACTTCAGTATTTGATGAATGAATGTATGTTGTGTTATGCAATTCAGATTTTTATTTTTATTTAGGTTACCTCCTAAGACACCAACTAAATTAATGTCATAGTTTTAACATTAAAGTTACAAGTAAAATGTGATCTTATGATGAGATTGTGTATGTCATATAATGGCATGTGAGTAAGTTTTTAAGTGAAGAAAAATATTTTCAGTATTCTTTGTATTATAATAAAATGAACAGAGACTTGCCATTGAAGTTGGCATTTGAAACTTTTGACAAAAATAGTTTCTTGTGAAATGAATTGATTTAAAATATATCTGAATATAATCCTATTCAATCTTTTCATGACAATATATCACATAAATTTGGATGTCCCTGTCTATCATGTTACCTTGATGGTTCTTATTATTAGATTGATAAAATTTCTGACCCCATTTTATCTCTGCAGATTCCATATCTATTCTAGAGCAGATAAAGGTAACGTTATCTTTCTGATGCCTTTTTTTTTATTTTTAGGTTTGTTTTGATTACATGTATAAGCTGAGGTATGCTTTGAGAACAACCATTGAATATGCGGTATTTCGTTTTATTTAATAAAAAACAGCTGTGCTTGACACAGCTCGAGTATGTTGATTTAAATCTTGGTTGAAGCATTGAATAATAAATCCACTATAAGTTGGTATAAATATAGGCATTTGCTTGATTAGAATTAGACACTTTACTGTTTGCTTTCCCATTGTTAATATTTGCCTTATATTCCGTTTTCCTGTTTCTTTTGGCTTTAGTTTCCACAATCCCCTCGATGCTATCCGGATCCAGTAGAATTGCCAATGTCAGAATTTTCTGATTGGTTAGACTATTCATTGCAGTGGAGCTCTCCTCCTTCTCCATTACCATGGGACTCTCCACCATCTCCCCTTGCATGGCAAAATGAAGCATTTGAATTTGTTCTGAAGGAAGAAATTGATGTCCAAGTGTAACTATTTCTTCTGGTATGTAATAAATAGAACTGGTGGATTCTACCTAATGAAATCAACATGCCTCATTTTTTGGTTTCTTTCTCTTCCGTCTCACAATTCCTTAAGTTGAATGATTTTATATTCATTTTCACAATTAAACATAAGATCTAATGTACTGAACAATGTGGAATAGGTAATGTGGTGATTACTGAGTTTTGTTATCTAGCAGTAATGTGTTTATAAACTCTATTATTCTCATATGTTAAACTTCCAGCATCCAAGACCACAATATAGCTGCAATTTCAATTGTAACCTGTCCAATATGGCATAACTAGATTAGAATGCTACCAAAGATATTATTGGGGAGGATCGCCAAGAATAGAACACTTACGGGAGGAAAGGAAAAGTAGTTAAAAAATGTTTTGGAAATGAGAAGGAAAACAAGGGTCAAGTGTATCACTTAGCTTAATAATACAATCTCTAATTATATAAAGATAAACTGTCATATGTTCTAATGGTCCCATGCCCCTTAACTTAGTAATGTTCTCTAACCTAACCATAGACAGGGGATTGATTTTCGTGTCTATAAAAAGAAATTGTTGGAAAAGGTCATTTTTTAAATAGATTTAGATTTTGGTATTTCAATTAGTTTCTTGTTCGTGACTAAAGAATATTTTAGATTCTCCACAAAAAAGAAAAAGTTATCACATTATTCTTTTTTTCATTTTTTGGGAGCTTAATTGAAAATCAAGAATGTTGTGGCCTAACAAAATTACACGAGACATTAAATGTCCGATGCTGTATGACAGCTTCCAAACCAGCAGACGGAAAACTAAACAATTAGTAAAATAGGACAACTCAGTGCGAGAGACTCTCTCACCGGTGTTCTGAAAGGAAAAATGTACGTAGTCTTATTTTTTACGAGCAAATAAGAGTAGAATTAAAAAGGGCGATACATTATCATCACCTTTGATGGAAAGACTCTCGATGAATGTCTCATTCTTCAAATTCTCGAGTAATTGCATCATCACCTTACCTTAAGTTATCGATGCGTAGAGAAAAACAAAAATAATTGTTTTCTGTTGTTTGTCGTGATCGTGTACTAAGTACTAAGAGTAAGAGGTAGTTGCACGGAAATTTCCTTTGAATGATGAATCTTGTGGGTAAGGAAGCATCAAGGGATTTCCTAAAAGTGCCTTCTTGGGTGATGGCCTACTTTGGTCATAGGGGTACTCCGGCCCAAACCACGGAATCACATTTCTCTTTGTGCCTCGAAAGTTGAAACAACCTTGTACTTGTTCTTAGGAGATTCCAAATTGTTGTACATGTCTTCCAAGTCTCAAATTTGATTCAATCCAGTTCACTTGAAGATTCCATTCTAATCTAAATACTTAATATTTCAAGCCTCACATTTATGTCTTAATTTCATTCCTAGTTAATTCTTTATCTTGCTGAATGAGTGAAATCCTCATCAATGATTAGACCTCGACCCTCCTTGGCTCATGAACAATCGAGACTTATTAACTCTTAACCTCTACAAACCTAGGCACTAGAAGTTGAAGGGCTATGGACTTTCTGGGACCAGGATGAGCCTAATTAGGCCGAACTCTTGGACGTCAACCGGCCCAATACCAATCCATTTATAATCAAACATTAATCCGAGCAAAAACTCTAAACCCTAAAAATATAATTAACGATAATTCATATGGTGATAAAAAATAATCTATAAATAGATAAACAATTTAAGAGATAAAAACTTTTTCGAATTAACAAGAATAAGAGATAATGTGAAATTACTATATAAGGGTGAAGCTAGATGAGGATAATTAGGTTTTTACTGATAATCTCATTTTTATGCTCTGGATAACACTATGCTAGGATCTATACCGGAACAAGACCAAACTTGAAATTATTGATACATTATCATTCAAGGAGTCTAGAGGCTGTGCAGTATGCCGGATTAAATAACAAATCTTAGATATTCAATATAAGTAATTGGATTTGCATAAGAAGAAATAGAAAAGGAGGAGGGGGATTGACAGAGACAAAAACATTATAAAAAAAAAAAAGGGAAAGTAAATTATAAAAATGACAAATACAGAAATATATTTTTTCAACATGAACACAAGCAATACATCTCTCATCTAGTACTTAGACAGGATCTCCACCGTTTTGTACACATTATATTGTCCATACCCTTCTTTTCATAAAAGCAGTAAGATGCAGCAAATTCACAGTATCATATATGTTTGCCTCTTACATATCAGATTCATGTATGTTTTGATAAGAAGGATTCTATCATTTTTTTCGAGACACAGCTGCAGCAATCCCACCTGCTATAAGTCCTACAGCAGTTGCAGCAATGCCTAGGCCAATGACACCATCTACAATGGAAGAAAAGAAACAGTTAGTGCTTTTTATTAGAGCCAATATCAACCAACTTTCCTCTTGCTCTTAGCAAGAAAAAGAAGCAGAAAAAAAAATGTTTTGGAGAACATCAAGAATTGATTGGAACCTTTTGTGATCTTATCCTCGATTGCCTTTTTGAGTGTCACTGCCTGCCTCCAGTCGGGAGCAATCTAAGAAGAAAACATTGTCATGATATCACATTAGACTATATAGTTGCTGCATTGGTGTATATGCAACGAGTTCAAATATATATAAAAAAAAATGGTGTGCTTTGCCTCTGCTTGGAAATTATTGTTGGTTTTGGAGAGAGATATCACATAAAAAACACCAAAAACATACAGATATTGAATCGGTAACTTTTTTATCCTCTATAACAACGCATAATACTTCAAGTATATGAAAAGGAAAAATGGAGTAACAAAGATACACATAATTATTGTGGCAAGCCACCCTGTTTCAGAGTGTTTGAATCAGTGTCAACTGTCAAAACTCAAGAACCAGTGTAAGTGCTCAAGGTGGTTAACTCAATTGTAAATCACGTGGAGACATCAGGTAAGAGTATAAGAGAAGTCCCAACAGACATAAAGTCTACTCAAATCATTTAGTATTCCTTTCTGTGAACAAATTGCAAGTAAAACACGCACAGACTTAAGAGAATGCATAAACAGAAGACATAATCTTCTCCAAAACATGATACAGATGGCAACCAGTTACACATAGAAACTCAACTTTGAAAGTATTAAAAAATCAACACAGGCACGAGATTAGGGAAGGAAATCAACAACACGGTTGTAATATTTTGTTCTCCACAAAAAAAGAGGTAAAATCATTATCATTAAAAATAAAGACACTTATCCAGTGAAATTTACAGAAGAAGAAAAAATTGTAATTTGTAAAAGGTAGTTATAAGGGTAAAATTGCCCCAAAGCAAAATGCGTACACCAAATGTGACATAGATGCTAAACAATTGAAGGGGTTAAAGGCATAGATGCATACCGCGAGACACCTGTCGACAAGATCCCTACTCCTTGAATAATCAGCATTTCTGAAGTATCCAACAGCCAAAAGATAAAGCTTCTCCCTTTGCTGCAATGGGTCCTCTGTACCGGGCAAAGATCCTGCCATTGCCATTGCCATGTCATTTAACAATCAATTAACAATTTAACAAACATGATATACATAATTGCACTGCATGATGAAAGAGTAAGAGAGAGAGAGAGAGAGAGAGACCTTCAAGCATGGCTATCCCACGCTGCACATCTTGAGGGTGTTTGGAGTGAACAAGAGCCCATGACAAACGCAAGAGACATTCTTGCATGGACTCATCAGAAGATTTCTTTTCCGCCTCCAAAACCTCTCTTTCACACCCCTGCCACGCAATCATTATTGCAAACACTTACAATACATTTAATTCATTGAATTAAAGAATTGGGAAATTGGGAACCCTAAAAGAAAGAATACATACAGCGACGATGTCGGAGTCGCAATAGGGAAGATGGTCTTTGCCGGAGAAGAATTGACCCACCGAATCCACGATCATCCCTAGCTTCGCTTCAAGTTTCGCCATTCGACACCCACTGAGTTCAACTGAGTTGACTTCACTTCACCAACTCGCTCTCTTCGGATAAATTCAGACCAGACTTGTTGCTTACGTTATCACGCGGACACCGCTTCCTTAGTCCCATAAATATAATACATTTTTTTTTTATTTAAATAAAGCCCATTTATGAATATAATTATAAAGTTGTATATTACATTTTCTAGTGTCGCGTTTTGAAAACTTAATTATGAAGAAAGGTGTGAGGGGCCATAAAACAATCCTCTTGCAAAAATTGACACTTCTTCAAGGTTCGGTGCATTTACATGTTTTCGTCATATATTCAACATATTTTATTCACTAAATTGTCGTATTTCATAAACTCAATGGCGTGTAAATTCACCTTCACAACTTCACATGTTAATTTTTTTTATATAAACATGATTTTATCTCAAAATTAATAATTAAAAGTTAATTTTCACTAGCCAAATGTTATTTGATATACATATAATAATAATAATATTATTATTATTATTAAATAAATAAATAAATAAACCTCACATTGAAAAGTTGCTTTTACGAACCAGGAGATAACGTTTTCTTAGAATAAAATTCCGCTTGTTAATATATCTATAATAAACCAAATGCCAACCTCCTATTTATTATCCACACGATTACAAATAGTATCTGAACTTATATTTTAGAGTGAATTACATTCACATATAATGATGTTTTGTTAAATTATACAAATACTTCTCATTCTTTTTTATTTCTACAATAACTTCTTTTAATTATTTGAGAAATATTATACTAATACTTTTTATTCATTACTTTAATTTTCTTTAATTATTTTAAAAATATTATCTTATAATACCTATGAAAGAGGTTTTTCTTTAAGGCGTAAAAGAGGTTACTATAAACCTTAAAATAAGTAGATGTTAGTGTAATTTTGTAAAATTTCAATGATATTAATATAATTTACTTTTTATTTTCACTAATTTTTATCAAAATTCAAAAATAAAATTCTCCTTACTGATCAGATTTTAACCTTAAATGAATTAATATTCAATCTATTAAGTATCAAAGAGTCTTAGTATCACATTCTTAACATTTTCTCTCTTATTGATTAAAATTAATTTTAAAAATTATAAAATCATAAAGCATATTCATTAAATAAGATATAAAATCTATCAAATTTTTAATTTTCATAATTTTAACTGATAATGAGTGTTCAAAAGAATGTAAAATAAAATAAAATGTGTTAAGATATAATCAAAATCTCATTATTAGAATAAAATTAAAAGTAAGATCTTATAAAATACACACATATTTCATTGATAAGAAAATTTTTAAATGATAAACAAAAATAAAATTATGATAATATAAATTCAAAATAAACAATATTTTATTATTATAAAAATTTGTGAATAATCAATTAAACAACAAAATATAACCTTACTCTTAATAAATATATCCCATCAAATACCACTTGATAACCGGATAAGCCTAACAATTTGTTCCTGACATTTCTTAAATATTTATTATCATAGTCTTTACCCGCATTTCATCCCGTTGTATTTGATTTTTCTAGACAAATTGAGACAAGGACAAAACAGACAGCTAGGGAAATTGCGAGGTGCCTTGGTAAGAGCAATCCTTTGAGGCGAGGTTTCCTTCTTGGCTTCTTCAAAGAACTTGAAGCATTGAAGGGCCCACCCCACAATGTATACGTGCACATAACGCATGATTAATCATACAAGGTAGTAGAGAGCTTAAAAAACATACTACTATGTTAAGAATGGGAACATATTTATTCAAAGCAAACTACAATTCTGACACAAATTCCTTAGCTCCCTGTACATTTCATTACTTACAAACCACAAATGAATCCTGTATGTTGAGCCAAATTGACAAAGAAAACAAATAAATGAAATTAATACACAAAGCAAAATCACCATGTTTTTCACAAACTAACCTCTACTTGGTTGTAAGGAGAGCCTCACACATACAACTAAACTCAATCTAATGACTACTCACAGCATATTCACTACTACTATGACAAGTGAACAAACAATTCATGACACAACAAAATAACTATAGACACGCTGTACATTAAGTGTACACTAAGTACCCTGCAAGGTATTGGTTCTAGAACCATCTTGCAAAGTCCAAACTAAAATGTATGAGGATAAATTCCTGAGAAGCTCAAAAGAGAAGAATGGCTTCACAAATCACCCATCATTCTATTATGGTACCTGCAGCTGCACGGTACAATCTGATGGGCATCTCATTCAGATTCTCAAGGGAAGGCTTCTCCTTCCCCATATGATTAAATGAACTAATATCTTTGTGTCAGGTAAAACCATCTAATACAATTCTTGCCTTCTAGAGCACATATTACTCTCAGAAGGAGATACATTTTCCTCATCTTGCTTAAGTAACATGTCCCCGTTTCCAGTATAAAGCCGGGCAGATAGCGAAGGTGATGAAGGTCCACTACCTGCAATCGTTTCAATATACATGCAATGTGAAAGAATATAAATTTTGGGTCATCTGGCAAGTCAGTGGGAGAAGAATCAAGGGGTATGATCAAAGTTACCACACCTCTAAAAGAAGAGCTTCTTTCAAGGTCCTTGGTCGCATGCAACATTATTGTTCCAGAGAGCACAACGATAAAGCCACATATTTCTGACACAATAGTTCCACCACTTTGGCCATCCCAATCCTGTAAGCATTATTTTAAAATGTAAATAGGTTCTTGTACAATTCATAGACAACAGAAACATATTATGCATCCAACATTTAATGCCTGAATTATACCTTGAACATTATTACACTGGCTAGTATTGTAAGTGTTGTGAACATGACATAGTATATAGGAGATACAATTGCTGTGTTGAAGGTGTCAAGAGCCTGAAACATCACAATCACGTCAGAGAATCATAACTGATTCAAATTTTCACATATAAGAACTTTGTACATGATGCACAGACCAAATCTGAATTCCATAGAATTGCTTTCTTTTTCCATTGAATATAAATTGGACATCATTTTGAACAAAAAATAAACATCACTGAATATAATAAATCACTATGTCTTCCATGGAATCATGCCCTCAAGGCCACAACCAACAACAGCCGAGACTTATTCAGTAAGGTCAGTTACATGAATCAAACACTACCATTAAGCTCTATCAGTATCAAAAACTAAATTTTCAGTACAATATTTTAGAAGAATGTTTTTCTTACTGTTTCTTACTGAAGTATTATTTGGTATTTTATGGCCCTAAGACCATCTTCCACTTGATACACTTTTCACTTTGGATCTTTTATTAGTCTTCTCACAAGACCAAACCAACTTAGGTAAGTTTCTTCCATAGTATCCTTAATAGTTATTTTATTACTCCAACATTATCCTTTATTGCTTGAGACAAAGGAAACCAAGAAAACTATACTACTACAAGTGAAACCATTAGGAATGATTTAGAGGTCAGGTCAATGATTCATCCATGGATATGAATCGTGATTTACCATAGAATGCTATGGCAGCTTTTGGTTGTTGTAGTTATTACTCCAACAATCTAACTTTCTCCCAAACACATTAATTTCTAATCTAATTTTTCTTGTATAGGCACTCATCTCTACCATATTGTTTTTCCCCTACTCTTGTAGTCTTGTTGACACTTCACTGCCTAACATTCACTAATATAGAACATTGTTGGTCTCTATCAAAACTTTCCTCTGAGTTTGATAGGCAACAAGTGATCCTAAATTGTGCCTCAAGCATTTTTCCATTTTATCATCCACTTAATAGGAGTCACGTGTGACATACCCATCAATCTCTCGACCACTTTGTAAGATGATACCAAAATTGTGAAACCTGTTGCATGAAATGGGTGGAGTGTGTAATTCCCAATTCTCAGCTAAACATTGGTAACTCCCATCTTAATGAAGATGTAATCCATACACTTTGTCTTACTCAACTACTCCTAATTTACCTGAAAACCCTCTGATTCCAAAGCTTCTCTCCACAACTTAGCCTATGCCATGATTTTGCCTAAACTTTACAAAGCTGATCCCAGAAGCCCAAATAAAAGATGAGAGTTGTAACATGCAGTCTGTAGACAGTGCAAAACTGTTAAACAATTGATGTCTACAAATTCTGAAAAAACTTCTTATTCCCTAAACCCATTGGTGACATATTAAAGGGATGTTTAAATTAAAAACTAGGCCTAGGTCATTAAAAAAAAGAAATTAAATAAAAATAAAAGAAAAAAGAAAAAAGAAAAAAGAAAACTCTCTTAAACTAAACTGAATTGTACCTTTAATCTAATGCATGAAAATATATATAACATCTAGCATGCATACATAGCAAAAGAACCTCTTGGCAAAGAAAGTACACACCAATACTACATTATTCATCAACCTCATCAAGTACAACTAAACCTTCAAGAATTTAGAAGAAAAAGAACCAAAAAAAAAACACCAAAATTGAACAAAGCATGCATAATACTTTTCAAAGGGTTTCTATGCCTTAACTTCCCTAGTCTTTTTTTTCTCCATCTCTCTCTAACAAAACCTTTCTATGGAATATATGGATCAATATAGAACAGATGCAACATATATATTAACAAATTACACCAAGAAGCTATATACCACAAATAGGTCATTGACAAAAATATATGTACGATGAGTTCAACATGCTAATTTTAAGAGACATCAGGTAACAAACCTTATTAAGATAATTCATTTGCATGATAACACATATAGCCACGACCAACATAAAAAACCATGTCTCTGGGTAGATTAATTGATTTTTCCCTTCAAAAGTTAATTTCAAAGATGTTCCAAGGGCTTTAACACTCATCACCTGCAAATTACAGTAATTCCATATTATTGCAGATTTATACAAAGCAAACACTTTTCAGAAAATATCATTGGTTACTATGATGGAAATGCTTATCCAAGTAAAAATTTAAATCATAGTAGTAATCTCATTTAACCATACAAGTAAAGCATATATAAAATTAATCGAAAGCTGAAACTTTATTTATGAAATTTGTTATTAGAGCACAGTAGTAATTGAAGACAAACTACTTTCAATATGAAACCATGTTCCTAGTTTATATATGCTTTAAACTAATTAACTAAATAACTTAGTAAAGAAAACTGAGAAGTTTAGATTAATTATAAAACAGAAGACTAAGCAGGAGAGACAACAGTTGATTTGCTTACAGAGAGGGAACCCATCAATGAACAAATTCCAGTGAAAACTAGCACGTTTGTATGGCCACATCTTGGTGCAAAATGGAAGACCAGAATGAAAACCAACACTATTACTGAGCCCACGTATGCCAGAAATGCTGCATGCAGGGACAATACTTTTGTTATCAAGGAACTACAATGAATTGCATTAGAGAAAAGGCAGTGCATTCTAACCTGGTTGAGTAGCCATATGCATTATTTCCAGAACAGAATTAATAGGTTGTTCCTTAGGAGCATGAATAACAATAATGACAGAACCAGCAATGCACATTATACATCCCAATATCCCAAGATTGTGTAGCTTCTCTTTCAGAATAATGTCAGCCAAAACAGCACTAGAGGATACCATGTTGCCAATGTTAGAAGATAATATTGCCTCAACTCTCAATTAACAAGAAAAAGCAAGGGAAATACCTCACAATAATACTTAGTGCGCCCAGAGGGGTAACTAGCACTGCTGGAGCAAATGCATATGCAACAAAATTTGCAACCTCTCCTACAATCACTGTACAATAAACCATACAGAAACAGATTCTGCAAGAAATCAGATAAAGGAAAAATGACCATGATAAACTAAAATTTGAAGATTATAATTAACCTTCAACATTACTACAACTGATCTACCATATGCGTGTATAATAAATAAAACAAACTAATAAAGCATCTGAAACATCAATCCCAAATCCAGATTCCACCAAAACAATGCAAAACGAGATAAATTAATTCAACCTAACTTACGGGAGTCAAAAATTCTATTGAGAATATAAAATCCCATTGATTTCATACAATGAATGGATAAAATCCAAGCCAATTATTAAGACAAGACAAAACCCAAAAAGGTACAAGAAAATCTAGATTCTACAAACCCCTCCCCCTTCAAAAAGAAAACAAGATTTGACAATACTAAGCATTGAAGCAAAATTAAAACTGCATTTAAAGCTTACTTGTGATCATTCCCACCCACCAGAGTGGCTCCAAGAGATAATAATACCCACCAACACCTACAAAATGATAAGAAAAACAAAACCATGCATGACCAAAAATCAAGTTCCAAATTGAAATTGAAATAGAAAAATGATGAGAAATTCTCTGACCAGCCCTGACACCAGAAACTGCTGCAGCTCTTCTGAGGCCTTGCTTCTTAATGATGAAACTTGCCCCAATGAACCCACTTGACACCAAAGCAAGTATGAGACCTTTCAGATTCTCCTTCGACAGACCCATCTCGAAAAATCGTTACTTTCTTCTGATTTCGGATCTTTTCTTCTTCTTCTTCATCGATGAGCCACGAGACAAACACGGTTCCTCAGATCATCATCATTTCGCTGTTTCATGATTGTGGCATGGAAAGAAGGAAAAGATACAGTGCGTACGACCACAACCTTATTATTGTAGACCATCTGTAAAAATAGATATTACAACCTTCGTTACCTTATTCATCAAAAGTCAATAAAAATAACTAAATTAAGAGTAATATTAAAAATTTATACAATTATTTGTACAATTTTATCTTTTTATCGTCATCTCTTTTAATCACTTTATTTATTATAAATAAAAATATTTTTAATAAAAAAATGATGAATACAAAAATAATGTTATACATTTTTTTATTATATATGCAACATTAATTTTAATTAATAATGTCACAATTATTTTTTAAAAATAATTCAACAAAATTAAACGTATTAACCGTAGTTATAATTAACTAGTATAAAAATAAATATTTTGTGTTTCTATATATTTAATTTAAAAAAAAACTTAAAAGAAAATAATTGTTAAATTTAAGAAGAATAATATTTAATATAAAAATAAAAACTAAAAGAATAGTTATCAAAATATATTCTCTTTATAATAAGTATCGATAATATTATTTATAAATCAAGAAATAATTTTGTAATGAGTGAGCATAACTTATATTAATAGATTCTCAATACATATATTTATTTTTATGAAAAATGAATAAATGACATGTGAATAAATTAAAATTAAGGATATAAATTGATATTATCAATATATTTAAAAATAATTTTATATTTCTTGTAACTATATCAAAATAATACTTTCATTTATTTTTATATAAATAAATAAAATAATTATTTATCCATCTCATTTAAGTATTGTATTTTAAGATAAAATAAGTATCGTGTTAACATTAGTTATCTATTTTTTATTTATGTGCCTAATAATATTTTTTTGAAAGTAATTTTATAAAGATTAATCATAAAAACTAATTTTATAAAATCAATATTATTTTTTATGTATTTATTATTTTATTGTATGTGTGAAATAACCTTAAAAAATACTTATTATAGGATAAATAAAGTACTAAAATAGACTTGAGATGTAATAAAACAAATGATACTTTAAATATAAATTTAGCTTTTTTAAAATAAACGAGTATAATTTAAAAGATAAAATACTTTTACAATTTATTAATTTAAAAATGAAAGATTGAAAATTGTAATAAAATTATATATATATAT